GGAATGGAGCAATTTGCTACTCTTATTTTATATAGGACCTTTACCAGGTTTTATTGGGTCCCTTTAAAAAACCTTACTGGGTTTTAAACATAGTGGAGGTGTCTGTACATGTGCTTTACTGACTAATTAGCTGCAGAGTAAAGCATCACAGTCTACACGTGCAATGGTATTAGGCTGCAGTAAACTAATTTACACCACCATAAGATAGTACCATCGGGGACTACTATCTTGGGCCTGGGTAGTTTTATTGCAGTTAAATACATGTGTAGATGCTGACCACGGGCACAAATTGCTCCCAGCCAGCAGGGGGCCAGACTTCTGCTTACTGCCTAGCGACACAGCTCTGCACTTTCAGCATCCTCCTGTCCCAGCCAGTCCCTTTGCGGTCTGATGCTGTCACTTGGAGTGCAGGGCTGAGCATCCCTGGTATAACCTGCTCCATCCTGGCTCAAATTGATTTTTGTCTTGGGTGCACGTATAGACACTATGCCTAGGAGTAATTTACTCTGGCTCAAACTGTTCCGGGTTTTATTACTTCAAACTATTTACATGTATAGACGTGTCCAGCATAACCAGTGGAAACATATTTTCAGTGCTGTGAGTGCACCATGACGCAGGGAAATTACCTTCTTTTGACCTAGCATTAAATTTGGGATTTGTTTGTTTTAAAGAAAATGTGTCACAACCATGGGGAAAGTACTGGTGAACTTATGAAAGACGGGGCTTAAATATAGCCATTTCTTATTTGGACCACACACACTGTGCTCCACTCAAAAAGTAGTTTCAAGCCTACACAAACCCTGTCTGTCTCCATCCACTTACAAGAACTAACACTGTACTTACTATTGCACAAGAGAGAGACTGACCCAGTATTCTCTGAAGACACTGAGCATTATTTTCTCTCTAGAATACAATGAAATCATAATAGACGTGTATATATATCTAGTCTGAAATGCCTCCCTGGTTGTATCCTTCATTGCAGGTTATTGCAGTCTAGGCAGGAAATCCATATTGTGGTTGGTATCCAGCTTTCTCACATGTTCCTTATTAGCAGGGTTTGTCCCTCTTACTATCTGCTGGTTTGATGCTGCTTTCATCACAGCATAGGTTAAAAAATGGAGATCACTTTTTTTACTGCTGTTTGGTTAACAAGAGGTGTTAGAGACCTCATCCAAAGGCTCAGTCTTCAAGAACTCACTGCGGTGCTCCCTTCCCCTTTTCAGTATACAGCATGAGAAAATTGGAATTCCCTGCTTGGCTGTATATCGTTAACCAGATAAGCCTTATATAGGTCTCAGGTGCTTGCAAAATTCTCATTGTAGAATTTAAAAAAATCCTGTCTACAACTAAAAACAAAATCTTTTTTATATTCTTTCCAATATTTATAGTGGCAGTTCAGGTTAATTAGCAGTCTTACACCACATACGCAATATCTACTGGTGATGTTGACTTGCAACTCCAGTGTCAGCTTACCTTTCAGAGCTTTGGTTGAGTTTGTGGCATTAGTTGAAAAAAAAACAACCTTCCCTCAACCCCCCTTCTTACTCTTAAATCTCTGCAAATTCCATCAAATGTGTTAACACACACATTAATTTAGCAATTTTCAGGCTACTCTTCAAGCCAGTTTTTAGACATTTTTGCTTCTAAGTTTCTACTCTGAGTCCAAATATTTTCCATTTTTTTAGGAACATCCAATATAGTAACTCCTAAAAAGTAAAAAAATACAGCTGGAGCTAAGATACAGTAGTAAGGATACCAATAAAAGCAAAATGTCCTCTGTGTTCAGTGTGATTACTTTGTTGCATAGTATAGTTTCAAGTGTCTTCTGCATGAATTAACCAGTGGAGGTGGCTGGTTGTTGAACTCCAAGATTTGTATATCAGTTTCTTCAAAGGTCAGCTTTCATCCCTTCAGAGGTATGCTGGAATACCTGGAAAGGGTTCAACAGAAAGAATGAAACGGCTCTAAAGAGATGCTCTTTGTGTGAGAGAACCTCTGTTATTTGTGTAAAATGGTTAAAGATCAATTAGTGATGCGTGCTGGGCGTTGGTGCTTCGATTCCCCTTCCTTGAGGAACGCCTCGGAAATCACTCTCTGTTCTTCACGCCCCCAAGGCCCAGCGTTGTGGTTAGCAAGGTTAGATGAGTTTTTTCACTAGCTAGTCGATGCATTTATCTTCAGTTAGCCAAGAGAAATTTACCATGCCATGAGATAAGGCTCTCCCAGTTCCAGTGGGCTCAGAGCTGGAGACCCATATTCTGCTCTTCCTGGCAGCACATTGCACTTCCCCCCCCAGACCACTGGCAGACTTTTTTTGTTGTATGATAGAAATAATCACTACTGCACATAGTTGCAGTACATGCTTGATGTGCCAGAACTTGGCACTTGCCAATTTGATGTCAAGCTGTGTAGACTGCATGAGCAGCTCCCATGAGAGTAGTGTCTAATCATACCTAATGAAATAATAATGGTTACATTTAAAATAAAGGCATAACTTTGGGTATATAAAGTTTCCTTTCTCTTATCTGGAAACCTCTGACTTTATGCCCCTTAAAGTCTTTCTAAATTGTATTTAAGACCGTGATTTTTATTTTTTAAATCTACTTATTTAAATTTTCAAAAATATGTCTTATAAAACTGGTTCACCACCAGGAACTTACCACCCTCTAATGCATGGTAAATTCTGGGTTGTGAAAGCAGTTGTGAAAATACACAGCAACTGCTCAAAAGCTACCACCTCCCTTATTCCCCATCTCCACAGGACAAAGTATGGCAGTGGAGTGGAGGGGATGAAAAGGAAGCCTCAAGTATTACTTTAACCCATCCTGTCTGCCTTCTACAAATGGCCTATTTTTCTGCCCCTAATGGTTTCTGCCTAACAAATCGTGTTTCTTTTTTACAGCGTTATGATCCTGGACTTGTTGTGGTGATGGTAAACTTAGCAGTGGTAATTTTTTATTTTCAGACTGAATTACTCCTTTTGTCATCAGTGCACCAATATGTTAGGCTTACTTTCTCTGTTGTAGCCTTCATCCTTCTGCTTGGTCTTTCATTTTCCTTTCCTTTCCTTTCTTTATGCACACTTGTCTGATCCTTGTTCATTAAAGGGTATTGCTAAGAAGGGATGTTTCTGTTTGTGTTAGAACTGCCAAAAATCAGTTTAAACATAAAATCCTAATACTGTCCAAACTTGATTTTCTCGATATAATGGGCACTAGCACTTGCTACTGCATTTTATTAAATAAATAGATTTTGAAAACTTTGACTGCCTTAGAAGGCAAAAGTACTGATGCATCATTTGTATACAGGGGTTTACCAAGGTAATGAGTTTGCATATAAAGATCCTGATTGTTGGAAGAAATAAAACAAAACAAACTGAAAAACAACCACCACCCAAAAAAAATCTTTTAATACTTGTTCTCAATCATTCTTTGGGTTTACGTTTTACCAGTAAATCCCTGGCTGAGACGTTATGAAAGTGATACTGCACCTAGGAAGTCATTTTTATAACCTGTCTTTAATTTGGTCCTTTTGCTAAAAATTGCAGTCACTGCTTAATTATTATACCATTGGGCGTAAGAGAAACACAAATTTAGGAAAAAGTTGCTAAAATACTCAAGTTGGATTCCAAATGTTGTTTTAAATGAGGCAAAATGGCTCAATAAAAATATTATTTATGGACTCATAAAATGTGCCACCTAAACAGGCCTTGAGTATATGGTAAAAAAATTAAAAGAATAAAAACAGAAATGTACAACTAATAACAAACTATAAATGGATTTACCAGAAACAGAAATTCTGACATTCCCAGGTATTTTAATAATTAAAAATGTCCTGTTCTTCTGAAATCTTTAGGGTCTCCTTGTGGTCCTTGTGAGGTGTGAGAACCATGGATTATTACCTTTTGAAGCATCCAGAGAAAGTTATCCTTGGAATACAGAGCAAATTGATATAAATCCCATGTTTTCCTGAAGTGACCTTAAAGCTGTAGTTTTTCTTTTGTGCATGCGGATTGAAATAGCGTCTTAATTTGTGAAGATCTAAAATGATAGCTCTTTTAGCCCAAAGGTATAATATATATGTATTTGTGTGTATAACAAAACAATTGTTTACACCAACTCAAGAACAGTAATAAGGGAAGTAAACATTCTGTTTTTTTACTCAAGGTATGCATCGGATAAGGTAAGTACTCTTTTTCAGTGGGCTTACATCACAACAAACAGCGCAAGTTGTGATGTAAAAGAAAAAACAAAAAGCTGTGGTAGTAAAGTGCTTGTCTGCCCCATTTTGCTTTGTTTGGCTGGTTATGAGTGGATTAAAGATGCGTTTAAAAAAAAAAAAATCTCCAGCATAGTTTGATTAGTTCAAAGTCAATTTTCTTCGCAACTAGTCCTTTTCACAGCTTACAGATTGCACAGTATGTGATAGAGCAGCTCTCAGTGGGAATATAAGAATGCAAGATGCAATTAAGCACCTTTTCTGAAGATAATGTTTATTTTGTGATGACAGAATTGTAACCTACACTGTCATCAATAATTTGTGTGTAATATAAGAAAAAAATCTTGGTGGGGGGGCATCCTAGCTGTCCACTAATATGACTGTGCAGTAAAACTTGTTAAGTACTAGTTTCATGCTGATGGGTCAAGAGATTCACAGTAATTTGTTGTCTAAAAGTAAAGGTGATGAGAGAGTTATATTTCAGTTACGTTTTTTAAAGACTTGGAAACGTTAAACATTAGCCATAATTTTGCATAAATGGTTAAAGTTTACAGAACTCTTACAAGTATCGAAGGACTAATGGGCATATTTTACCTCAGGCAGTTTGAAGCTGAGAAGTAGTTTTGTGGATGTAAGCTGTGAGAATGGCTTGTGTTTGGTTCACTGTAGCTTTCTGGTCTCTGCACTCCAAGGCAAGATCTCTAACCACCCAAACCCAATGTGTAAAGTGAGCTGTAGCAATGGACTTGGCCTCTCACCTTCTCTGTGTGTTTCCATTACAGGTAGAACGGATCCCATCCCTATCGTCGTCAAGTATGATGTCATGGGCATGGGCCGTATGGAAATGGAGGTAAACAGATCCTGGTGCAAATTCTAAAGAGCATTTCTGTAATTAACTTGGGGTTTTGGAATATAGTTAGGAAGTGAGTGTAAAAGTACGAACTTTGTACAATAAGCTGGAGAAAAACTTGGCGTTAAATCTATGCTAGGGGAAAAGCTTTCTCCACAAAATACCCAGTAGCCACCTGTGGTTACCTGGTTTTAGTGTGTGTGTGTGTGTGTGTGTGTGTGTGTGTGTGTGTGTGT